GGCAGCCTTTTCCTTGCCTTCCATGCCAATCTCTCTCTTTTATTATTTTAAGATTTTTTTTAATTTTTATTTTTCATGATACGGTTCTGTCTTTGTGGAGCCCCCTTGCCCTGACGTCATTTTCTGGACAAGCCACAGCTGCCTCTGTAACTGAGCTGCTATCCCACACAGGCAGCGAGGCCTGTTCTCAGTGTCTCCTCTGCATCCCCAGCCAGGCTCAGCAGCTCCTGTACCTGCTGGTGGCAGCTTCATGGGACACCCAGACACCCCAGCTACTGTAGAAGCTACAAACATCCTGCAGCCACTCCTGTCCCCCACCCACCCAGCACCTCCAAGCATCGTGGCTCCCAGCCCATCCTTTAAAGCCTGAAGAACAAGGCATTAAACATCAGGGGAGCAAGAAGGGCCTGAGGAAGAAGGAGCAAAGGCCCACACGAGCGTCATCCTCATCTCCATTGGCCGGTCCATGGCCTGGCTTCCCGACTCTGGAATTCCCAGGCCCACCTCCCCTCACTCTAGCTGCACATGGGGCTAGGAGCCTGCAAACATTGATGGGCCTTCCCTCCTTCCCCTCCTGTGCCAGGGACAAATTCCACCCCTTTGTCTGGTCCCCTATTGTGAGACGAGAAGAGATTTGGGAATGAGGACCATTGGCTGAAGAAACCATCTGCTCAGGCCCTCAGCTCTTCTATCCATAACCCTGCGGGCCTAGCCCAGGTGCCTGCCCCGTGAGAGAGGCTTGGACCCTGACAAACAGGTTGCTGAGGCCCCCCGGCAGCTGCAGCGGGAGCTGACGGGTCTCGCGCCAGCCCACGCAGCGTGAGGCAGGTGCAGTTCGGACATACCTGTTGCTGAGCAGTCGCGAAAAAATGCCCCCTCCCTGGCCACAGTCTCCACCTAACCCCTCTGAGGTATTTGGCAGGAAAGACACAGGTGTGAACAGAAGTCATCCCAGGAAAATGACTCAACCTCATATCAGCCGTTGCCTCAATAAACAACCCCACAGTCCCTCTAGCCAGGGGGTATACTGGAGACTAGTAACTGGGATGGACCTGCCAGGAGAAGGACTCAAGTTGGAGATGAAGGTGTGTCGCACCAGAGGTTCAGTTCCCTGCTCAGCAGCTCAGCACGCTGGGCAGTTCCTTAAGCTCTCCAAGGCTGAGCCTTTTCCGAGTTTGCATGGAGGGAAACAACACACACTCACACGCGAATCTGCTGCACAACCACAAGATGATGTGCACAGCACAGTAGGCAGGCATAGGGATTAACACCCAGGCTCCCAGCAAACATCAAGCACCATGGAGCAGGGGCCCCACTCCGAGCACGCGGGCCATCCCTTCCCTGGCTCCTCCCTGTGGAGCACCTGCCTCCCACCAGCCTCGCAGCATGCTGTGTGGCACACATGTGTACCCAGGGTGCGGGTCTCACGGCTGGAGCCGGCCAAGGACTTCCTGAACCTCCACGTCCAGAAACAGTGAGGAAGCAGCAGCTCTGCAAAGCCTTCGCCAGGAATGCGGAGGAAGCAGAAAGCCTCACACCCAAGCAGGGCAGAAATCAAAATCAACACAGGGTAACAAACAAAGGCCCAAGAAAGCAGCAGAAGCCTGACACCCGCCTTACAAATGAGAAGCAGGAACATGAGCAATGCAAAGGAATCGGCTGGTGAAGTCAGATCTTGGGGAAGAAGTGATCTGCTCAGGATGACACCAAGGCAAAGCCTGAAGGAAGCCCCAAGCCTCTGCAACAACACACACACCCCAAGACCCTGCTCCCTGGGGCATGATGCACCCCTGTTTCCATTAGCTCCCATATCTCTGAGATAACCACAAGCAAGTCCAAAGGCACTCACCCTAAAAACTTCTCTCGGACACAGATGCTGGACCCGATGAGGGTCCCGAAGAGCAAGAGCCACCTCATGTCCCGGGTGTCGGTCAGCGCAGCTGAGTCAAGCTGTACTTATAGGGAATCTGAGCACACTCATGCCGTCAGCAATGCTGACGTCCCCAGCGCCCATGCAACACTGACAGCACAGCAGGCGGGCCCTCTGTGCCATTCCTTGGCAATGATCGAGACCGAGCCTCCTCTGGGCAGGGTCAGGAACCAGCCCTACGGGTTCCTGCTGCTTCAAGGGCGCCGTGGCTGGGCCAGTCAATAAGAAAAGTCGCACAGTGTCGGGTAGGACTTGTACCAATAGGAAGGACTAGAATGTCAGCCCGAAATGGGGGGACCTCTGCTGGGGCGACTAAAACATAAGGACCATCAGAGCCAAGTTCAAGACCACACGCTTGGTAAGCCAGGAGAAAGAATTTAACCAGCATGGGTCATAATGGGGAGAACTTTGGAGTTGAGTCCCCACTGGTTATAATTCCCTTAGAATAGAAATACATGACATAAATATGATAAGAAGGTTGAGTTAGTCTGAATAAACTGATTTCTCAGGGTCAAAAGTACAGGTGTGGCTTGATGGAATCACTGATAAGCCTCTCTTAGACTAGACTCTGCTAGACTCTGAGTCTGGTGTTCTTTCAGAATAAAACAGAAGAAATGCACGACCTATGATTCCTTCAGGTGACTGGGGCCTTGGAGTGTGGAAGAGCCAGCCCCAGAAGACCCTGCCATCCCACTGTGGGGATGGGCATAAGTGAGTGCCAAAGCTGGGAGTGTTCATGAAGAACGCATCTCCTAAGTTGGTAACGGCATTTGAGCTAGCAGCTAAGATGCCTGTAGCCCAGGTCGAGTGCCACACGGGGTTAGATACCCAGTTCACAATAACAAAATTTCTAAGGACATTAGAACATTTTACTTGGGATGACTTTTTTTTTCTTTATTTTTTTTTTTGAGGATAATGAAGGGGAACAGTGGAGTGGCTTGCAAAAACAGAAGAACCGGAGGGCCCAGATGAGCGTCCCAACAGGAACGACCGTTGTCCTGCTCCGCTGCAGAGCCAGTGCTCATCTCCACACCCCTAGTAGGGGTGGTCCCGCACATGCTCCATGATGGTCTTCAAGCCAAGCCAGGTCTCTTCGGCCGTGGGCAGTATCTGTGCGGCTGGCAGGAGAAAGCCATAGCGGCCCGTGTCCCTCAGCTCCAAGGCAAATGAGTATTTGATGCCAAAATCATAGGACCAGTCAATGCTTCCGCCACTGGCTTGGTCTGAAAGGCAAATGAGAATCGACCTGGTCATGCCTTCGCTGCCAGCTCCTCAGAGACACAGAGCCCCGTACTAAAGACCCTGGCACCAGAGGCCGGGCAGGCTGCAAGACGGCCAGGCTTAGGAAAACTCGGAAGATAATTTGCAAAGCAAAAGGTACATGCATGTGGTCACTCTACTGAGTCTCCCTCCGTGTTCTCCGGCTCTCCCCCTCCCCGGGAACCCTGCCTGCACTGCTGAATGGCCTCCCCTCCAGCTCAGGGCAGCCACGTCCCTGCCTGCCTTTGGAGGTGCACACACTGCTTTCTCCAGAGCAGAAGGGTTACAAATGGAGTGGAGATTAAGTTCCTGCCCACAGAGGACTCTGCCTGAGGGTAGGGCAGACTCTGCTCCAACACCAAGTAGCACTTCCGGTGTCTCTGCAGGTGCCTGAAGCTGATCCAGTAAGTGCACCTGACACATAAGGCCTTTGATATGACAGGCATGACTCAGCCGACTGCCCTGAGGCCCCTCCTGGCAAGGGCAGGTGGAGGTGACACAAAGGGCCAGGCTGAGGCAAGAAAGAAAGAGACCACCTTCCTAAGGACAGTCCTGGGAAAATAAAGGAGACGGGGCAGGCCTCGAGGCCAATCTAAGAGTTACAGGTCAGCTCACCTAAACAGACATGTTCGTATAAGACACCCAAGGGACCCAAGTCCAAACACACAATTCATTTATGTTTCATACACAACTGTGTACTCAGCCTGTAGAGGACTGTACATAACACTTCCCAGGCACACGTATTCTGACTGTGGTCAGGTGTGGAATTTTCCACTTGGGTCACATTGGCACATAGTTTCAGAGTTCGGAGGATTTGCGGGTTAGGGACCTTCAGTCTGTGATACTAAGGACTCCTAAAACTTCAGCCATGACAGCTCTGGTCATTCCTGGTAGGCTGGGTATCAAAATTACTAACTTGGGCTACAACCAACCCCCTTGACACTGTTGGTCCCGCCATGAGGTCAACAGAGGACACAATACAGGCTCGGGGTTAACTCATGACCCTGAAAATCACCAGCAGGATGAACCATGGCAAGCCATTTATCACCCTATCAGGTGCTTCATCTGGCAACAGAGATGACATCACTGCTGATGGGTGTGGGGCCGGGCTGCTTCAGCAAGGCAAAGAACACTCTTCATAGATTGAAGGAGCTAGGATAGCAAAAATGTCAGTTATGATCATAGATATTATTAATCCATAAACAATTATGATCCTCTCAGAAAGACCACGTGACAGATCAGAGTTACCAAGAGCAGAACAGTTCATCAAGAAGCTACCAATACTGCGAAGTGCTTCAGCATAGTCGTATTCCACATACCATCTTTTTAAATCTTTAAAGAAACCAAGAAAGGAAGGAGTGAGCTATCCGAAATTACTTAATGCCATTGTGGCAGAACTAGAACCCAAACCCAAGGTCTCTAGGCTCAAGGTCAAGGGCTTTTTTCCCCTTACCCCTCCCTGAGAATGAACTCATGAGACAACTCCTCTCAGGCCAAACTCCAAGCGCTCTGTGCGGGCAACTGCCCAGGGGACATCTCACGGCCCATCTAGAGAGGCGCATCCCGGCCAGAGCGCAGCAAGTGCTTGCTGCAGGGCAGCATGCCGACCCGGGGCATCCCACTGCTGTGCCAAGGCGCTCTAAGGCAGGATAACAGAATCAGCTCTGGGCAGAGAGGCCGTCAGAACTTGCTGGGCGGTTTCCAAGATATATGCTCATCTGCTTATTATATGATGTTATCTGCTTATTGGAAATCTCTTCAATATTGCTGAGCTCACCAAGAAAAATATACACAACCCAAGCCTTCCAGGATCTACTTTATTGGTAAACATCTCTGGTAAAGTAGGTTTAAAAAAAAAAAACCAAAAACCTAGATTCCTAGCAATAAAATCGCTGAGCCCCATGTGGGAGTCTCAGTGGTGACTGCACCATTCGGCTCACACGCTGGACTCCAGTCTGAGACTTCCAACTAAGCAAAGGCCTGCATTCCAGTCAGGCTGCCACCATGGTCTTGAGACACCAGCAGGGCCTTCCTCCCTGGAATTTTCCCAATGGGAATGAGGGTAATCCCACTTAGATTAAAGTTTAAAAGGTCCCATATCTCAACAGACATAAACAAAGAAGTCTTCTTAAGGAACAGCATTTACAAAGACATAAACACAGCTCCAGAGCCGGCCCTGCCTTGGGTAAGGAGAGCTGGTCGTGGGAACATCCTCCAGAAAGATCATCTGGTTGGAAAAGGAGTTTGTGCAAACGTGCTAGCAGCAGCGCGGTTTAGCAAACAGCTGGGGCAAGCCAAGGGCCCAGGAACTGAGCTTCCACAACACAGGAGTACAACACACCCCAAGGGGCAAAGAGACCACCTGGAACACCAGCCTCTCACCCAGGAGTGCCAGGACCCTGCACCCGCGTGGGAGACCCAAAAGAGCTCGTGGTTCCTGGCTTTGGATCGGCGCAACTCCGGTCACTGCGGCCACTTGGGGAGTGAACCAACGAACAGAAGATCTTTCTGTCTCTCCTTGTCTCTCTAATTCTGATTTTCCAATAAAAATAAATAAAATTTACTCCCGACATGGCCATTATTTTCAACTTGCCCTCCTCTCTTCACCCCACATGCTGCACAAACAGCTCTCACAGAGCCGACCCACAGAAGCACCTGGGGCCCCTGGCACAGCCACGCCCACTCCGTCCCCACGCAGAGCCCACTGCATTGCTCAGGGTCTCATGGAGCTCTCACTTGGGAAAGGAAACTTTGGTAAGAGAGCATGACTTAGGGTCAGGCCTTGATGAACACTCACTCATAGGCAAGGACATTCCGCATGCCAGGAGTAGCTGGTAGCATCCGGAGAAGCCTAAAGAATCTCCATAGCTCACACACTGAAGGCTTCTTTGTTTTAGATTTCACACAGTGAATGTCTCACGGAGGAAACTGGGGAAAGCTTGGGTTCCATGTATGAAAGTCTGTCCCTTCCATACCAAGACTTCTAAAAGCTGTGAGCCAGGTTCACAGGGCGCCTGCCAGCTTAGTGCATCATTGGTAGAAAAGAACAAAACAAAACTGTCAGTGTAGCAGGAACTTACAGATAACTGAGCAGATCGGTCCCACTTCGTACTTGGTACCATACAGACTGGCCAGCGACTTGGCAGCTTTTTGGCCTACTTCATTCTAGAAGGAGAAAACCATAGAAAGATGAATGGAAAACACTTGTCTCTTGGAAGATTGCTTGCCTAATAAAAGAACATGAACTGAGAAAGCTCTAGTGAACCGGCCCCTGAGCATCTGGGGTGGAAACCTTCACCCTTGTTTCAACAGCTTCCCAGAAACGTGGGCACAATGGAAGCCACGATGCGGCGCCTCCCGCGAGAGCCACATCCTGGGGAGAGCCACATCCCACGAGAGGCACAGCCCACGGCTCATCCTTGCCCCAGCTCTCCAGGAAGGGCGGACAGAGAAGACCCACAGATCGTTTCCTGACCCCAGGAGGTGTTCAGGAAGTTGATTCTTTTACTGCTGTTGTTACATTCCAACACTGGCTCGTTTCCCTGTGACTGACTTTTTCCAAGAAGCAGAGCTCAGCAAAATACTTTCCGTTATTTGAGGGTTCCAATTTTGACTGATTGAGGCTTTACTGTCCTTGCAAGGGATAAATGTGAGGTCGTGAACTTGGGGCCAGGAGGAAAACTGTACAATCACCAGCTGAGGAAAGCCTGGCTGCGCAGAGGTCTGGGGGAGCCTGGAGGTTTCAGTTGACAACGAGCCCAATGTGAGTCAACAGCACTGTCGCGCCCACGTGTCTTACCGCCCAGCAGTAAGAGGCAGACGCGAGTGAAGCCTTCTGCGGTAAAGTTTATTGCGCGCACAAAGATGAGGAAGAGGAAGGGGCGGACCCCGGCAGTCTTTCTGCTCTTATGTGCTGACTGGCCCCGCCTCCGCCGATGATAGGTCAGCGTCATGATCACGCAGGGTCCTGGGCGACCGGATTCGTCAGTCCCCAGTGTTCACGCGCCGGCCACGCCGCAGCTCACTGCGCATGCGCTAGGCTACGTGACACGCACGAAGGTGTGGCTTCTCCGGCCGGCGCCATTTTAGGCACAGCATGTGGCCAGTGCATACAGATGCGGCTTGCAACATCTCTCCCCTTCTTACACAATAGAAAAAATAAGCTGGTATGGGCCTGTCTTAGGTTGTAGACTCAAGGCGCACGATCCGTCATAGGGAGGCTGCGTAGCTTGACGTAGTCCCTGTCTTAGACCGATAATTGTCTGGGTCTATCTTACCCGTCATGGGCTACAACCGCGGTGGTTGTAAAGAGCAATGTCTCGACAAGGCAGTTATAAGAGTGACTACCCTCTCGCGTGCAATGGATAAGTCCTGCGAGGTGCAAGGGCTAGTCGGGTGCATCATGCTCGAACTCAGTGCAATGCCATAATGGCCTGAGGTGCAGGAGCCATGATGTCCATGCTCTTAACTAAACCCGTTGAAGCATGCTCAACCATACCATGGGGGAGTCACCATTCTGCATGGCTAGTAGGGCTTGATGTATTGCCACACGATCTCGCTGAGCGCGGTGTCTCAGACGACACAGGCAAAAAAGGCATAAGGCACAGCCTGCACACAAGAGCAGAATCAGCACAACCACTCCCACCCATTCCTTAATATGGGAAGTGATGTTCCAAATCCAAGTGGCCAGGGTTTCAGCAACAACAGGATCCACCCGTGTAGAATTAATCTGGACAATGGCAATTCTCAACTCCGACTGTAAAATATCAAATTCTCTCGTCCAATTTCCTAAAAGATAAGAAGAAAGCTGGCAAGAAAGATTAGCAGCCGTTGAAACATTTTGAAAAGGAATAGAAGTAACACATAAACCTTGACACTAAAATTCTCAGGAAATGCTTGAAAACAAAGCGTGTCCTGTAGGGGGAATAAAAAATTACTCACATTCTCCTTAATATCATCATAAGGGAGAAAAGGCAAATCCAAAGAAGAAAAAATCAAGGAAACACTCGGGCTGAGTGGGCGACCCGTAAGGGTCATGGAAAAACACTCAAAACTCCTCATCGTGGCTCAGCAATCACGGTCCTCACAAGCGCCATACAGACCATTAGTTGCACCATCAGCCGTGTTTGCACTGGGCGGGGCACCATTGTCCTGTGGGATTGTAGGAGGAGTTTCTGATTGCGGGGTTGCATGAATCTTCCCCAAGTCAGATCCTCGCGCAAGCGCTCCAGCGGTTGCAGAAACGTCAGAAGGCGGTGATGGACAGGAACGAGTCAATCGAGCTGGAACCCAAACCGGAACTGGGGCGTCCTGTGGAAACACACAAATGGCTCCTCGAGCCTGCCTAATAACTGGGTCTGGGCCCTTCCATTTGGACTCCAGAACATCCTTCCACTTGACCCAAGATTGCTCTTGCGCCATCTTGAGGGAATGACGATCTGCAGCACTGAGGCCTTGCTCATCCAGCTGTAAAAAATTGATGGTGAAAAGAGCCAGGGCTAGAGTGGCCCGAGGGCTCTGACTGGCGAGACCAAGTGATTCCCAGGTGGTTTTTTGTTTTTGTAACAATTCCTTAATAGAGCGATGAGCACGTTCGATTATTCCCTGACCTTGTGGATTATAAGGGATGCCAGTCACTAATTTGACACTCATTTTCTGCATTACACGTGCCACAAAATCACCAAAGGGCTCATCCGGCTCCTGCTTAACCTGTGTAATGCCCAGTTTCTCTTGCCCTTTAAGTGAAAGGGCCTTCCAAGCCTTTATAGCTGCAGTAGAGATCTGGGTATACACTGGCCATGGATATCTATTTTGATCATCAGAGTATTGGCCTTGTCCGGAAAGCATATTATAAGTCCATGACAAAGCTTCACTGCCGCGCTGTTGATTTGCGCGGGCGGTCTCAGCCAAAAGCTCCTGCCATAGGCCCTTCCAATTTAGATATGATCCCATATTAGGGAGAACAGCCTTCACCACAAATTGCCAATCAGAGGGAGTCATATTCATTCCCCCCATACGTTCTAACAGGGACAAAGTATAATTGGCGTGAAGACCATATTGCTTTACAGACATGGCCAATTCTCGCACTAATGCTGCATCTACCTGTCTGTAAACTCTTTCCCTTTCTTCTTCTAAGACGGGGAACATATTTTGAAGTTCCCGGCGTGTGGCTGGATCGATGAAGGAGGAGCCGGCGCCACAACTCATGGGCGGGGCAGATGGCTTCACAGCAGGAGGAGCCATTAGTGTAATGGCTCCAGAGCCCTGAGGCCATGGGCCGAGCGTGGCCGGCGCAGTAGCACCGCCATTCTCTTTCTTCTCCTTTTCTGATCCTCCTCTGTCTCCTGCGGGTTTGCGTTCTAAGCGCCTATGCCGCCTATCCCGCTTGTACCCTTCCTCCGCGTCGGACGTCTCCGAATTTGATGAGGAAGATACTGCTTTCAATTTCACCTCTATTTTTTGCTTCAAACCGGTTCTCCTCTCCCGCTCTGTTTCTGAGAGACTATCCTGGGCAGACTGAAGGGCTTTGTCACTCTCTCTGACCGCTCCCCTACGGAGGGCATAAACCCTCTGCAAAAATTTCACCAGAGAGATCCGTGCGCCCATGTCTATAACCAGAAGCGGTGGCTCATATACCTCGCTCCTAGTCACCCGAAAGTTCTCCCTCTCAGAGCTCCTTACCTGTCTTATGGCCGCAGTTCTGACTTCCTCCCGTTCGAAACGGGAGGCCCCCTCCAGGTCCCGGGTTTCGGGCACCAGTTGTCGCGCCCACGTGTCTTACCGCCCAGCAGTAAGAGGCAGACGCGAGTGAAGCCTTCTGCGGTAAAGTTTATTGCGCGCACAAAGATGAGGAAGAGGAAGGGGCGGACCCCGGCAGTCTTTCTGCTCTTATGTGCTGACTGGCCCCGCCTCCGCCGATGATAGGTCAGCGTCATGATCACGCAGGGTCCTGGGCGACCGGATTCGTCAGTCCCCAGTGTTCACGCGCCGGCCACGCCGCAGCTCACTGCGCATGCGCTAGGCTACGTGACACGCACGAAGGTGTGGCTTCTCCGGCCGGCGCCATTTTAGGCACAGCATGTGGCCAGTGCATACAGATGCGGCTTGCAACACAGCACTGTGCTGCACTTCTGCCAAAAAAATCTACGGTGACCCTTGAGTGCAGTCCCAGATGGGCACAGGCTGGAGGGGCAGAGCTGGTCGCGCTGTGCGCTGCGCTGCAAAGCCCACACGTTTGTCACCCACTTCCACAAGCGACCTGTGCGGGACACGGCTGCCGGCAGGCTGAGGGCATGGCCACGTGGTCAGCACTCACAGGAACTGGGGCTTGCTTTTGCTTTTGGTTTTAGGAGGAACAGAGAGCACTTAAGGAGTACAAGTTACTGGGCTTCGAGTAATGACTAGCTTCACCTCTCACCACACAAAAAAACTGGCTCAGTAGCCCCAGATGATAAACCAGAGCGGAATGTAAGGAGAAGCCCCGGGGACGAAATACACCCCGATGCACAAGGTCCCCTCGGCAACAGGAAGCCTTCCGACGCTGGGCTCAACGGCGGTGCAGCAAACAGCCACAGGTTCGCACCACGTACAGGATCAGCAAGGTCTTCAAAAAGAACCCGACAGGTTCCTTCCAAGCCTGTCATTGCTTTCGCCCTGAAAGAGTAACACTTGCCGCCCCAGCAGGCTGCAATGCAGCAGCTGAGGAGGAAGACAAGTGTGGCTTGGAAGCAGCGAGTCCGCTTCTGCAGGAGCTTGCTGACCAGAAAATGCTGGGGTTGCTCAGAATCTAAGGAAGCACGCCTCAGAGCCCAAGGACGACCACTCGCTGGTTTCTGCTGGGGAGAGCTGTGGCGTAGCTGATCTGTCATCATCTGACACAAGGCTGCTGCCCGGGCGCCATGCCCAAAGCAAGAGAAATGATGAAAGGAACCAAATCAGGGCAGGGAAACTGGGCCTTGGGCACACAGGCACAAGGTCACACAGCCAAACAGCCCCAGGTGCAAGCACACCGACCTAAGAGCCTCACACCCAAATCCAAGCGGCTTTTTTCCCTCCCTTATGCAACAAAAAGAACATTCCAGAAATCATGAGGGTTCTGTTCAGGTAGATGAAGATAACAAGAATCGCTTGATTTCTGTTTCACAGGGAAGCCACACCATCGCCTCAGCAGCTTGGGGTTGGGTTCACTAATGCTGCGCTCCCCTGATCGCCTGTGGCCGGCATGCCTCCCTCTTAGCGCCCACCTTACTGCAGAAACCTACTTGTCCACACAACGTTGGACAAAACTGGAATTACCTGTTTTGTCCTGTTGCCACGCTGGAATTAAATTTCCGAAACTCACCAGCTCATCGAAGCTCTCTGGCTTGGCACACTTGTAGCCGTAAGGGAACATGAGCAGCTGGGAATAGCTGTGCAGGGTGAGGAAGGCTTTGACCTTGCCGTGATTCTTGATGAACTCCACTATGGCTTGCACTTCCACTTCTGAGTTGGCACTGGGTCCATGGTAGGAATCAGAGCAAGGGCTGCTACTGGCTCCAGGGCCTGATGGACGCACAAGAGCCCAATGAGTTCAGCGGAGGGAAGAACCTCTGCAGACCCGCAAGCCCCTCCTCTGGAAATCAGAGCAAGACCCGCACTGTTCTACGACTAGTGTCTTCCCAAGGGCACAGCCAGCAGACCCTTAAAGGAAGTGAACCTAGACTAATCCCTTTTCCTAAAAAAAATGAAGGAAGAAAGATAAGCTTTCTACACTGGGCATGTGACAGTGCAGTTGCTCCTGGCTGGGATGCTGGCACCTTCTCTTAGTGCCTGGTTCAAGTCCCAGCTCCTCTTCTTGTGGTCTAGCTTCCTCCTTCCATACCCTGGGCAGGCAGCTAGTGCTGGCCTCAAACACATGGCGCCCTGCCACCCGACTGGAATGCTTGGATGGAGTCAGGGCTCCTGGCTTGGTTGGTCCAACCCAAGCTGTAATTTGGGAAGTGAACCTGAAGATGGAAATTTCTCCATCTTGTCTCTCTTCCTTCCCTCTCTCTCCCATTCTCTCTCTCTCTCTCTGCCTTTCAAATAAAATGAACATGGACAAATAAGTTATAGTTCCTCCATATGGCTGGAGGGCTATCAAATTCAAATCACCTCCTCTCTCTGGGAGGGATGCTGGAAGGAAAGCGAGGTTTCATTTTATAGATGGAATTCCTGCACTGGGTGGGAGTTGCATTAAGTTCACAAGCTGGGATCTCGTCCAATTCATAAAGAGTCCGAGGGGAGAGGATCGTGCTCATCTAGACTCCAAGTCACAAAGCCCCAACGCCCACAAGCGCCGACGTCCTCCTGCCAAGAGGACCCCGCAGCTGCTCGCCCAGCCACCTTCCGCCTTGACCCTGAGCGGCCCAAGGCGCAGCTGCGGGGCCAGCGTGGGCTGGAGGGGCTGTCCTGGTGTAGCACCTCCGAGGGCACCGTGAAAGCTGGTTCCCCCCTCTAAGTGACAGAAAATGGAAACTCAACTTCTGTTGCCTTACGCCAAAATAATTTCACAGGATAACAGTTGTGGGGGGTGGGCAGGGGAAATAGCATTCAGTGGCTGCGTTTTGTTCAATATTTTGAGTCTGGTGCGCTAATTTTGCTTTTTCTTCCTTATCCTTTAAAAAAAAAAAAAAACAGGTGCTGGCAATGAAGGCAGCTGCCCTCACCCACAGGCCTCCTTTACAAACACTGCCCTTCTGCGCAGCGGGCCCCGGCGCTGGGCGGCAGCTCCGGGCCTCGGGCGAGGCCAGCGAGGCCAAGCCCGCGCCCCTCTGCGACGCCGGGCCCTCCCGCCCGCCGGCCAGGCCGGGCAAACGGACACCAGGGTCCTTCCCGAGTGTGTCCATGTCTGCCTCTCCCGGCGTCCTCGCGTGACGTCACCGCTCGGCCGCGACCAGGAGCTAGCGCTCTCTGGCGGCGGCTCCCGCCACGGGGCCTGCGGGCGGCGGGGCAGAGCGTGAGGAAAACAAAGAGGGGAGAGCCCCGCGGGGCCGCGCCGCCCCGAGCTCTGCGGGAGCAGCGCCCGAGCTCTGCGGGAACGGCGCTGGGCTGTTGCTGTGGGAGGGCCTCACACGCCGGCTTCCGGCCTCGCCCGGCCTGCCCCGCCGCCCCTCACCTCCGAATCCCGCGTCCCAGTTCCGGTTAGGATCCACGCCGACGCAGAAGCTTCCGGACGCCTGGGACCGCGTCTTGCGCCACATTCGATTCTTGAACATCCAAAACCCAGAAAGAGCGAGCGGGCGCGGGGGAGAAAGCCCGGTCAGCCCCGGGTCCCTCCCGCAAGGCCGCGTGCCCCTTCCCGCCTGCGGGGTTCATGGCCCCCAGCCGCACCCCCAAATGAGTGTCCGCTCCGGAGAACCCCGTTTGTAAGAGCGGACTGGGGACACTGGGGAATTGTGGGGCTCCCCGGGGAATGCACGGCAGCACCCTGCAGGGCTCGTCCACGCACTCCCGCCGGCTTTGGCTTTGTTGTTTTTTCCTGAGTGGCCTGTAAGAACGGCGTCGGGTGGGCGGCTTCCCTCACAGCCGGCCGTCGCCCGGCCGCACCGTCGGCGCTGCAGGCACGAAGCGCGGGAGCGCTGAGTTCCAGTAGACGCGGGGTCACGGTTGCCACAGTGGCATTTCGTGATGAGATTTGAAAGGGGGAGTGGGGAGAGAGGCCCACGCCACGGCCCCTTTTAGTGACACTGCAGAGGATTTCCTGCGACAGGACGCTAAATGCTAAATGCCACTGCGATCTGTCAGCAGGTAGCATCCGCTGCGCTCTCCGTCAAACCCCGGATAATGGGAGCCAGTCTGCTAGGTGACCCGCGGCTGGCGGGGGCGGCTGAAACGGGGGCGGGAGGCTCGGACCGCGGCTGCCGGCCTGAGGAGAAACTACTGCGGTTGGTCTGCTCTGAGCAGCTGGGACTTACTTCGGTGTGCGAGAACACGTAGCCGTCAGGGTTCGTGACGGGCAGCAGGAAGAGGTCCAGGGTGTCCAGGATGGACGTGACGGACGGCTCACTTCCGTAGTCGGAGGCGATCTGCACGGAGAGCACAGACGGGCAGCCCGGGCAGCGGGGAGGCCTGCGGCCGTGCCACCTGGGCAGCAGGGCTGCTCTTGGCCCCCCGGAAGCTGCTGCCCCGTCCCCTGCCGTGCTCACGAGCTCGACTGGGCCTAGACTTTTCTTTCTGGTCAACATCATTTACTGAGGAAAAGATTAGAGCTCGCGGATCCATTCTTCACCCAGAGCAGGAACCATCTATCTGTGCTGCCGAGGCGTTCCGCGGCGATGGGCCATCGCTCACGTAGCGCCATGTGCCAAGGAGAGATTCTCCGATATATGGCAGAATATTCTTTAATATTCCCTCATTCCTTCCCCCATACTCTCTCTCTCACACACACACAGCAGCTTTCCAAAAGAACTCATGACCAATATCAGATGTACTGAATACACTTAGGCTCTGCTTAGAGACAGACCACTGCTTAAATTCCATTTTGGGGAATTAGATTCTTTTTTTTTTTTTAACTTGCAATCAATTGCAGTAGTGTTGAAGTTTCTACTGGATTAAAATGTATTCATTTCCTGTGCTCAGCCAGCCTAAGCATTATTATTCAACTGTTAACTATCCATTTCCTAACACCCTAAAGGTAACCGCATTTTAATTGAAGGGAAAAATGTATCAGTAGGCGTGCACGTGGTTGTACATGCTTGAATAATCTGATGTGGATTGATTTCCTTTGCTCATGAATTAACATTCTGATTTATAGCATGTCATTTTGGAACTACTTAAGAAATACCAGACCAGGTCAACCAGCTGCTTGTCCTGACTGATGCCAGCGAACAAGTGGAAGGCAGTGGTTGCTACATCCTGACTTCAAAAGCAGATGTGGGAAGTTTTCAGGGCAACCCAAACACCCTTAACTAATTTCCTTTTGGATCTCTGGGTCCAAGGAGGCTCTTCTCACACCTGACTATTTTGCTCTCTAATCCTCCCTTAACATTTTTTAGATTTCTGGCACCTTGTGCTGCAGCCCTCAGAGTTGCGGGCAGCAATGTGACTTTCTCGAACCTATTCTTACACTGAACTCTGCCTCCTGGGGCCCTGCCCTGCCTCTCAGGATCTGGTCTAACTTGCTGTGGCTTTCCACAGAGTTCCCAGTGATGGCAGAGTGCCAGGACACTGGATGGGGCAATACCAAAAAGGGCGGGATGGGTTTGTTTCCTGCCTGTGTGCTAAGAGAAGGCGTGACCCACAGCGTGGGCTGCCAGGACCACGGGGACTAGTGTGTGCCTGGTGAGCCTGACCTCAGACAGACAAAGTCAGTTAGGAATTCGGAGCAAGATAACCTTATTTGCTATCCACAGCGCAGTAGCTTGTGTAACCCACTCTCGTGCGTGGATCCCCGCATCGAGCCAGATGGCCGGCTTGTCACCTCCGGTGCTGAACTGAAAAGCAAGCACGACAAAGTGACCAGCCTGTCCTGGCCCCTCCACCCGCACTTCCACCTCTGGCCGCTGTGCCCTTGATGGGTTTGGAACGCACACAGCTGACACTGTCATTTGTCTCATCAAAGGCAGATATTCGTTTAGCCCGCCTCAGTTTAGACACGGGCTAACAAGAGGGACCTAGGCTTTCCTCCCTTGCTGTTTGTTTTTAAGCACAATTGTGATGTCTGGTGTAATGATAGGAAATGTGTTCATAGGTTGTAAATGGAAGCAGACAGGTTTTTATTTTAAAAAAAATGATTTCATGTCTATACTCTTATATTTTTACACCTGAACACGTGACAAGGGAGAGGGAACAGAGAAAAGGAAAAAGCAGTTGAAAACTAGACAATCAAATGCAATGTGATCAATAAAAAATAATATAAAAAAAGAAATTGTACCACAAAATTCAAAAATTCAAAATAAAAATTTAACAAAAGAAAACTAGACAAATATATGAGCTGTTGTCCTATAGAAAAACTGAAACTGTAGGGATTTGTGTTGTTGGTTTTGTGCTCTTTTCCAGATGTACGTCATGGTTTTGTTACAAAGAAGCTAGTGATGGCCTTCAGTCCTGCCCACGGCGGCAGGCTGGCCCAGGCTGAGCCAGCGGACTCTGCCTCAGCTGGAACAGTGCTGGGGGCCAACTGGAACAGTCAAGGGGGGAGGAAAAGATGGTTTTTGCACCATCAGCTTCTATCTGCACGGCCTTTTAAACACAGTAGATAAGACCAGCAAGAAATGTAAATCTTTGCTTAAAAATTACATTTCACGGGTTTTGAGCAGAAAGCGCGCCGTGCCTTTTCCTCCAAAGAGCTCCAACGGAAAAAGCAGAGAACTTTCAACACCGCATGATATTGGCAACCGCCAGACCACCCGGGGGGAGGAGGGAAAGCCAGGAAAACTGGGGGGAGGGGGCGGGAAGGGAGGCTGTGGTAAGGAGCAGCGAGAAGAGGGAGCAGAAAGAAAGGGGGCAGCTGCACCCCGGTTTCATCAAGCAAGCCGACTGCTCTTGCTCCGAGGGAGAGGCCCTGCAGAGAGCCACGCGCCCGTCAGACAGCTGTTCCCAGCCACACGTCCAATTTACTTGTGACATTCCCTCCCTCTCTCTCTTGTTGTTAAAAAACTCTTTCTAGGAGACCTGAGGAAACAATGTTCACTCTTTCAGGGCAAAGTGGAACAAGGTGAAATGGCGGTGCTTCAGGCTGTGGGCTGACACGCACTAACCCGGCTACCGCCTAAATCCTGACTGCCTGGGCTTCAGGCAGCCGGCTCGCATCCTGCACACCGCAGGATCTTTCATTTTCATGCGGCTAGCTTGGGCAATTACTTGGTGTTGTTGGGGTGTTTTTTCCCTGCTTTGCTTTAACAGTTAGAAAAGAAGGAGACAAAGATTTAAAAAAAGGAAGCGAAGGTCTCCCACCTCGATGCATTACACACCACCTGGCTTCCCGGTCCTACCGCCCACCTCCCTTGCAAGCATGCATCCATCAGGACCCCAGCATTAACTCATTGCTGGAGCCAGCTTCTGCCTGGGCAAGGAAAGAGGAAAAGAGAAAGTATTGCCAAAGAAGTGCAGCGGGAGGAACACTCAAAACCAGCAAGGTCCAGTTAGGAAAAAAAAGACCTGAGTTCTAAAAGCCGGAGCTGCCTCACAGTACCGCACCTTGAGCGCGTTCAAGGACCGGTTTTCGAAGGAAGAGCCGATGCGCACTTGGCTCACTAGCCCCGGGTGCTCCGCCACAAGGTTGTTCATTTCCTGATAAATCTGCAATGTTTCAATGAATAGTCATTTGCACATGAACGATCTAACCCATCTGCTACTGACTTCACTCCCTCTGTCCACCCTGGCCCTCGGTGGGCACTGAGGCCCACACGTGAAATGCCCTCTCTCAGGGCTCATGGAACCCCCACTGGAAATGAGGCTGACTGCAGGCATCTGCAGGGATGTGAGGGAGAGGCCACTTTGCTGCTGCAGTCTGCTTTTGGCCATTTTCTGCAAAGCCACCCGGCTGGTGTCTGGTTGGCTTTGCTCAGCCCCTCTTCCATCTTAGCTGCAGGCTCTCCCCCATGCAGAGGACACAAACAGCAGTCACTCCCGGGACAGGAGCCTGGACAGGGATGCCAAAGCCATGGGCGGCCTTGCCCCCTGTCTGCCAAGAAGGATGCCCAGCTGTGCCCAGGCTGGGACCTAGCCTGGCCTGCAGGACTGACTTGTGGAAGTGGCAGGTCTAGCTGTACTAGCAGCCAGGGCATGGAGCAGGTGGCACTGCAGGGGAGGTAGCTGTACTAGCAGCCAGGGCATGGGGCAGGTGGCACTGCAGGGGAAGAGCAAGCGTGATTCTCTCTCTCCTCCCTCTCCTGCTCTTGACTCTGTGCAGGCCCAGATGAAAACCCTTGCAGCTGGACATATTTCAAACTCATTTTTTGCGGGGAAGGTGGATTTTTGACAACACCAGTTGGAACGCTATGCTGCATATCACACAGTCTGACCCTGTACTCCAGCACATAAGCATGTCTGGCCGTGAAAGAAGCTAACAAGTCAGCTCGCATGTTTAGATCACATCATGTTGAACTCCCAAATCAATTACGGAGAAAAAAAAATTTTTTTTCAGAAAACTTTAAAATATTTAAATGCCTGGTTTGGAAGCTTGTGGCCTTCTCTGCAGCGCCTGTCTGCCTCCTCCCTTCACTCCTAACCCCCTCCAGCCCTCCCCCTGCCTGTCCTCCTCTACCCCACTGACTCCCAGGTACCACCAGCACAGGGCTTTCTACCCTGAGACATGGCAAGAAGCAGGTGTCCAGGGGCTCCCTGACTCCAACATCAGTCCATTGGCTTGGTGAGTGGCGCAGGTCAGAACATAGCACGAGGGGTCAGCATGGTGGCTCAATCAACTAATCCTCCAGCTGCAAGTGCCAGTATCCCATATGGGCGCCAGTTCATGTCTTGGCTGCTCCACTTCCTATCATGCTCCCTGCTTATGGCCTGGAAAAGCAGCAAAGAATGGCTTGGATCCTTGGCCCCCTGTACTCATGTGGGAGACCCAGAGGAGCTTCTGGCTACAGATCAGCTCAGCTCCAGCTATTGTGACCATTTGGGGAGCGAGTTAGCCGATGGAAGATTTTTCCTTTTCTGTTTCTCCTTCTCTCTGTAAATTTACATTTCAAAAAAATAAATCTTTTTTTTTAATGAGCTAGGTCAGAGATAAGAACAGGAGCCATTTGTGGGTTCATTTAAGACAATCCACAAAACTTTCAAAAATAAGTGCATAGCTGTTGAGGAGGCTGGGTGGAGTTCAAGTCCTGCAGGAAGTCAGTGACCGTGACGCTGGCAAGGTTAACTTAAGGAAACTTGGAGGGATCCAGAGTAGTTAGAGATGACTGCCAAGAGGTATAATCATCATCTCTGTGGTCCTAATTGGCAGAAGAGAGCGGCCAATTTCTCTGACGCTCATGGTGAAATGTCTATTTTAAAACACCTACCTCTTCCAAGGTATGGTAGGCACCAAAATTGAAGTTCCCATTCCGTTCTCTTCTCCGATTCAGTTCCATTTCTTTTTTCTCTTTGTCCAACAGAACCTAAGATAAACCCATTCTACAGATGGTTAGTTCACGTTAATGTATTTCAGTCAACAGCTTTGAAAGCAGCAGTGTCTCTCGGGTTTCTATACCCAGCTCTCCTCTCCCCGTCCTGTCTGTCCTTTATCTGGCAGCTGTATGAACTGGACTTCCAGCTAGCCAAGTGTGGCAGAAAAAGGGAGTGCACACTCCCATGGCCCATACTATATTTCTGTGAATTCTTGATCCAGGCTAACCTCTAATTAAAACAAAACAGAAGCAGACATGCGGCCTGGCAATTAAGACACCCATGTCCCATGTTGGGTTTAATTCATCCTCCACTTCCTGTCTTGGGCTTTTTTCTGAAGTAGACCCTGGAAGGCCTCAAGCTCTGGCTCAAGGTGTTGGGTCCCTGCTCGCCAGCTGAGAGACCTAGTCACCTTTCCTGGGTACCAGCTTCTGCTTAGCCTGGCCTGGTCCCGGATGCTGCAGAAATCCGGGGAGAGAACTAGCAGATGGCCACGCTCTGTCTCCCTTTGTGACTTGCCAATAAATAAATAACTTTCAGCTGATCTTACTTTTGTTGTGTTTTGGCTAACACCCTTCAGTTTGCACTCTAAATGCCAGATTCTTGCCTCTTTTGTCCTTTCCTTTCCATTCTTTGTCACCATATTCCAGGGGACCAGATGCAAAGCAGACAATGTCTCCTCCTCCCAGCAGGGTGGCCCAGGGGGTCCACGCAGAACCCGGAGGGCTGGCCGGTCCCCCACGCTGGCCCTACAGTTCGTGGAGAGCAGCTAACTCTGCAAGGCTTCCCCATGGTGCACTTACCTGAACATCGTCAATCATGATGGAATAAGCAATTCCCTGGGACTCCAAGAAGACTCGGACAGCCTGGGCACTGACAAAGGGAACCCGGACATGCATGGCGGCCCCTGGGGTGGTGGGTGATTTCCAGACGTCAAGCTGCACAGGGCAGAAAGCCAAGGTGAGGAGTGGGTCACTCTGGGGAACGGGCAGCTCGGCACAGATAAATTTCAAGGAATTCCTTCTGTTTTCTCTTGAGTGTGGGAGCTAAAGTGACTGGAATCGCTGTGACAGCACAACAGGGTTTTTAATTACCCAAGCATTAGTAAATGTGTCATAGTGCCTTCTTCTATGACTAGATATTAAAAAGGGCCAAAGAAAAATATGCAAAACTATGGCAATTTTTTAAAAGCTGGTGTACAAGTGATCTACTTCCTTTCATAAAATGCAAACATTATGACATGTTTTAGGAAAGCACTAATGCGCTCGAAGTGTCCAATGGCATTCCAAGGTAACTTTCCCATTTGATCCCTTTTCAACCTGACAGCTAGATCAACAGTATATGTATTGTTTCTTAACAGGGCAGTGAGGTACAGGCCGAGGTGGGGGAACTTGTGCCATGCCATGTGTGTGGACCTAGAGCCCAGGTTTTCAAAATCCCATTTCACAAGTTCACATTCCACATTGTGCCAGAGAACTCAACATGCAAAAGCAGCTCAAGCGCCCTGTCTACCCAGGAAGGCCTCACTCCCGGAGAGGGAGCCACGTGAGGCTGGGTACCTGGAGATGTTCTTCAGCCTCTAGTTGCACCAGCTTTTGAATTTGTTCTTCATTGCTCGGTATGATCTCAAGAACTTGGTCTCTGAAACACAGAGAACACAGACGTGAGCTTAGCAGCGTGGTTGGAAAGCTGTTTCTGCCAGCTTCCTGCCAGTCTGGCCTTGGAAGGCCAGTGTGCCAGTCGACGTCTCGTAGACCGTGCAGAAACTCCTTCGGAGTGTACTGACCCGGATACCCCAATCAGGAAGAAGCACGTGGCTTGGTTTCCACAGGGAGCCGTTATCTAGATGGTGACCAAGAGGCGTGCGGGCTCCCAGCAGCAGGCTTGCCGGTAAAGCCACCTCTCTGCTTAATGAGTGTTTGTCAAATACCACCTGCTGTTCATGAAGCAAAGCCTTTTAAGACACCTCTTCCTGCTTTGCAGAAATAAGTTAATAGAAAGTGTAATCATCCATCTACTGTTTGTAAGAGGAAATGAATTCATACCTAGGTAGACCTCTCTTTGATAAAGATCCATTTGTTAATTTGTTCACTGGCTGGAGAGTTTTTTGATGTTGTGTCTTTTTACATCCCTCGGGATCCCATATGGGTGCCAGTTTGTGTTCTGGATGCTCCACTTTCCTCCAGCTCCCTGCTTGTGGCCTGGGAAAGCAGTCAAGGACAGCCCAGAGCCTTGGGACCCTCTTTCTGTCTCTCCTTCTCTCTGTAAAATTTGACTTTCCAGTGAAAATAAATTTTAAAAATCTTTTTTAAAAAACACCATTAATAGATAACAAATTTAAAAAACTATATTGGGGTCCGTATTAAACCTAGATCACCTCTTACAGGAGCACTCTAATCCAGAAGCCCAAGTTCTAAAAAGTCTGTGATTTTTTTCTATTCCTTGGATTTCCAAAGGTATTTGATCACCCGGCTTTTTGGATGAAAAATTTCAGCTGCGCCGTTAGTTCCCCAGAATACTCCTCAAACAAAAGCCATGCCGCTTAATGGTGACGCTTAGCCTAGTGGTCAAGACACTCGTTACACACCTGTGTCCGAGCCCCTTGGTTCAAGTCCTGGCTCTGACTCCCAGTCCAGCCTCCTGGCTGAAGCAGCCAGACTCTCACCACCCGTGGGAGAGACCTGGGTTGGGTTCCCAAGTCCCTGCTTCTGCCCCGGCCCCTTGCAGTCATTCAGAGACAGCTCACTCACTCTCACTCTCTTTAACCACTTGCGCCACCGCGCCGGGCCCTACTCACTCTCATTCTCACGCTCGTCATCTCAAATAAGATGGGGTTTGTACTTTCACAAATGAAAAAAGCAGTGCTGCCTGGGGCCTTCACAGTCTGGGCAACCACAGGATTTCAAAGCAAAGATGTGTCCTTCAAAGCCAGAGGAGGGGCCTTCTGCTGCTGAGGCCCCACTGCACACACACACACACCCTGGACCTGAACTTGGGGCAGGAGCCACGCTGAGCTGCAGGGTACAGCCTAGAGCCCTACTCCGGTAAAAGGCCAGCAGTCGGCTGACACCCGGCACAGGGAGGCAGGGAGCTGGATGTCCCCACATGCTGAGCATCAGAGGAACATGGGGCTAGGTGTGTCCTGGCTTGTGACAATGCATGATCCAAAACGGAGTCACTGCTGTGACATGCACTCGCATGGCGCCAAGGCGTGGAATCCAGCCACAAAATGGAGTAAATGGCTCACTGCTAACTGCAATACTTTTCACTTTTGTAACTTCTGCTTTGCTTGCCAATACAACAGATGTGTGAGACTGTGCAAGGTCACCCCTGCGGCCTTCAGCACAGATCTCAGCTCCCAGGAATCAAGGTCCCAGTCTGGTTATCTCACAGGTGGCTCCAAGGCCTGAGTCTGGTTATCTTAACTGCGGGACCAGAGAAGAGACAGACACAATTGTCCAGCCACAACAAGCCATTGTAGACTGCCCCGTAAAAACTGTCAACACCCGGGGCCACACTCTGCTGGGGGATGTTGGTGCTGTTCTGTCGGGCTACCTTCTCTCGTTGTAATAAAACTTTGTTGTGACTGTCACTGGTGTGGGTAACACTCTTTTAGGGGTCAAGTAGATGCAGCTGAGGGGCCGTGGGGAAGAAAGGAAGCAGATACAGAAACCGTCCGCAGGCCGGCCGAACAGCCAGCCACAACCTCAAGAAAATTCCACTTCGCCACTGCCAGCTGTGGTTTGCAGTGTAACTTCACAGACGATGGCTGGCCAGCTTCGGGCAGCCAGGAGAGTGAATCCACAGATCGCACTCACCTAACAAAACCCCTAGCTTGTCCTTCATTCTCGCGTGTCGCAGAGCCCACCCTGGCTGGTGCGCTGTATGCCCGTGATTGCAATTGTGTTCTTTCTGTCCAAACCAACTTCCTGCACTGGAGAAGTGCCTCTGTGGCTTTGACTTTGAAGGACTCCTTGCTGCCTTTCCCATGACTTCACCCCTGTTCAGTCTAAGGAAACGACTCTGAAAATTATAAGGAGCAGGTGAGAAATCCTGTAAACCAGTTAAGAACAACTCAAGCCCGCCCCAGCGGCAGTTAACTTACCCCACAAACGCCTTTCGACAGTAGATGTGTCCCCAGAGGGCAGCAAAAAGCAGGATGAGTCTCATGGTCACGGCTTTTCCGGAGGCCAGGCTCCACTCCTTTTCGGACTTCATTTATAGGGTGGGCAGCGCAGGTTGACCTGTTGGCCCGCGGAGAACTCAAGTCAACTCCCAGCTGGTAAAATTCCCACCTGTATTGATGACCTGGTCAAGGTGGCCAGCTCCACCTGCATGCTCTCAGCCGTCTGTACAGGTTCCCATCGCTGGAGCACAATAACAAACTTCATGGGAAAGAAAACAGAATTGCCAGAGCC